AATTGATTTCGTAGTATTTTAGCTCATTTATCCGCGAAAACTTTCTCGTGCTTTTGCTATATCAATCCCTCCGCCGTCGAAATAGCCCGACCCTACACCTCCAATCACGTGACGTTATAATATTGTATATAAACGCGTCCGCTAAGAGATGATGATGATAATAATAATAATAATAATATACTTATATAAAAGTCGTTATTCGCGTTCTTTTCTCATTTCCATTTAAATCCGTTTGATATATCGTCGCAGTTAATTACTTTGCTAGACGTTTTGTTCTCCGGATTTAATTAACATATTATACATTTTATATATTTTTATCTTATTTTTCTCCTCGGCGATCTGTCGCGCGGAACAGCTCGTTTTTCAAGATAATAAATACATTTGTTTTTCTTTTCGCTTCGTAAAACAACGTTATGCGCTGAGTGAATTTTCGATCGTCGAGAATAGATAATTAAATGGTGTTAAAACTTCAATAAAATATTATAAAGGTATATAGGAGATGAATACAGATAAGTAAACGAATTTAATTTATTTTTCTGCATATAAATAAAAAACTACTGTTATACATTTGTAATAATTTATGTTTTGAAAGATAWATCTAAAYACCGTATCTATGAAAAGTCAATGAATTCTGTGCTCTGGAATTTTCAACCGGGATTTTGAGATGGGTACGATATAATTGTGTTGAAAAAATTTTGCGAACGAAAATTACTAAATATAATATAAACAATATTTATGATGGATTTAACGACTAAGTCTAGAGCATGATACGATTTTGTTAGCGATAAAGTTATTTGGGGRAAAATACATAATATTTACACATATTGTCGGTAAAATTAGGTATTTCAATGTTTAAATTTTWTTTTTCTAAAAACGTTTTTTTCAGTATAGAAAAAGAAAAATCACTCAAATGTTAGACAGTAATGCGTTCATTTGTCTCTATAGTTAGCAATAGTACCTAAATATGTAAAAAAAATTGCTATTGATGAGATAATAAATTATATTGGTTTTATTTTTTCTGTATGGGATTTGTACTAGWCCATAAACTATCGAAGAAAAACGTAGAAACGCTAAAGTACCATAGTACCAAGTGCATAATTTAGTTACAGGTATTAACATAATATATTAAAATTATACCCACGGACAGTTCAGAATTTGTGCGGTGTAAGAACAAAAACCACACACCGTATATACTATATACAAATACAACCCTCTCGACGRCGTGAGATATGCGACACCACGAAACAACTTTTTTTCAATCATAATGTACCTGTTTTTGCACATACACACACACATATATAATATATAGATTGTAGTCTGTGCCGGTCGACTCTTTCGAAACCGACTCGAAGTCTTGACTTTTACGTCACACSGACCATTGTCAAAGACCCCACCGCTGCCTCCGAGCCATCAGCAGCAGCATCAGGTCCACGGAAACAACCCTTCCACATACCGTTTTATTGTCATCGGAACGAGGAATTGTTTTCCGACTCATCGGTTGTGACGAGGGTCCCGCATTCGCATATATGTATATAATGACGTCGGACCCATTAGCGAGATTAATTTCGGTCGTTCCTTACGTTACGTAATACCAGCAGTGGCGACGTTAGGGATGTAGGCGCACACGTATAGAGCCATTCGTATGATATAATATATAATAAAATATACATGTAGATGKCATATACTCGTTTATCGATTAGAAATCGCGGCAACACATAATGGTAAGTACATATTGTAAGTTGCAATAATAGTGCGTATCACCCCGCCACGCGTTGGTTATCATGGTAGCGGTGAATGGGGCGAATGGGGATTGATTTTTTAGAAAAATTTGACAGTCCCTATTCACAGACCAGCTCTCAGAAGCAAGAGCGTCTACATGGATCCGGAAGTAACGACCATGCAGCCTTCCCGACCACTAAGATTGTGGATTATAATAATTATTTAACACATCAATTTATTGGTCTAACTATAAAGGCGTAAAACTGTACGTATAACCGAATTTGGATTTTGATTAGATGTTTTTTAACTCAATATTATAGGTCAGGTTATTTTAGGTTTTTACACATAATAATTATTGAACACGTCTTTGTATCTCTGTTGTATCTACCTGTCCGTTAGTTATAATATTTACCTGCAGTATACTTACGAATTATGAATTATGATTGATGATAATAAGATATTTAATTTTTGTCTATAGTCACAAATTTAACAATTTTTTGTGTTAAGATTTTACAACGATGCTATAATTAAAAGTGAATTCATACTAGTCAGTGTAAAAAAATATGAAAATATAAATGGCCAATACTAAAAAATAGATACCAAAAAAACAACGGTTATCAAATTGTTTTCAAATTTGACTTTAAGTYTTCATATTACGTTAAGTTAAAAATACGTTTGGAAAAAATTAAAGAATAGTAAGCGATCAACGTGAGTTTTTTTGGACTTATTTTTATTATAGATTGAAAATTTGTTACTTTATAAGGTCTTTTTATATTTTACTATCTGCATATTATGTTCCTTGTATTGATATTATGTATTATGTTAAAGTAACGTWGGTGCTGTATAGATATCTACTCGTAAATTATTTCACTTTAGTATTAAAACAATTTTAACATTGATAATATTATCATATGAAAAAAAAAAAGAAAAAAAATAAATGTTACAGTGACCCCCGGTTTATATTTTTGTGACCATTATTGCCGGAAAGTTTCAACTAAGAAATTATTGCTAGGTACCTATAATAAATTATAAACAGCCAACATCCCAAGATAAGTAAAATTAATAGAAGATAAATTAAAAGTAGGTAAATCTATATTGTAGTAATTTCAGTAGATTTTGATTGATTTCGCTTATCGAAATATTGTCAACGCAACGAGGTTTGTTACTTATTATATGATAATATAATAACTAAATGTTATTGACAATAAAAATACAAAATACAATAAATAACCATTGTAATCGTTTTAGAAATAGATATTAGTTCCAAAGAAATATATAAAACTTGAAAGCTGATAGTAGTAATTAAATACCACTGATTAACATGTACAATAATTGTACATGTATTGTTATGAGAGGGCTCAAATTCAATATTGTAGGCGCCTCTCCCGGCCCCCTTCGAAATTCAGGTCAGCGAACGTTTATGTTTTTCGACGACCCACGTACTTATCGTTCCATGTGCGCATTATAATACGGTATTTTTGTTTTGTCAAATTAAAATATTTTTAAGACGACTTATAATTCATTAGTAGGAATTATTTTTCCCGCACGCCTCTTATCGATTCGTTTATACGCGTGCACACTCACACACGCAGCTATCGATAAAAGTATTATTTTAACAACGCCTGCGTATAAAAATGCAAATCGGACTACGCGGATAACGGACAAGAATATATTTACTGCAAGACTGGTTTCATTCGATTGTTTATCAAACGATTTTATTTGTATTTGTATAGAGTGGTGGTGGCGGTGGGAAAAAAGAAAATATTGAATTAGACCAACGAATGCGGTGACTGGAGGGGATGGGGAGAAAAAAAGTATATATATTGCCTCGCCTTCATCCTCGTCGACGCGTCACGATCACGTTTCTTTTCCAGAAATAAGCCACTTAAGCCACGCACGGACGGAAAATACTATTTCTTATTCTTTATTTCGGAATCGTCGCGTTTTGTTGAAATCAGTTTTTCTTTTGTGCACGCGATGTTTACTCAAAAAAAAAAAAGAAAAGAAATATATATACATCATAATATATGTATAAAGATACGCCACGTAAAGCAATAACGGTATAATATTTAAAAAAATATTGTTGTCGACCATTGACCAGGCAACCATGGTTATGGTTCGATATCGAATGATTGACTTTGCTGATGTCCGGTAAACCACAATAATGTATCATTCACATGCAATTTATTTCATCGCCGGATACACGATGATAGTTTCACTTAAAGTAAATTTGATTAATATAACATCGGTTGTTTATTAAGAATAAAAAGAAATGCACAATGCACTCATGGTCTTTCTCTCTCAAACTTATATAATACAAATAGGTACCTTYCATTATGTTTATATCATAACTCTTATCCATATCTTCGAGAAGTCTTGTTGATATTATTTTAACTAATATTAAAATCAGTAAAAGTACCTATATTCACGTTAACTGATAAATCTTAAAATCATACATACATTACACGTTTCTTTTTTTTTACTTATTATAAAGTGTTACTGACATACAGGGTCATCAAACTTAACACGTTTCTAAAATACACGACAATAATCCACATTTTATATAAATATATATGTATATATATATGTATAATATAAGAAAATGCGTGTATGCCCGTGGTTTATGTATGTTTAAGAACTACTCGATCGATGTTTTGACGGAAATATTCAGATATTATTATTTATTTTTATTATGTTCTTGATAATTAAATGTCGTATTATAAAATACCTTGTAAAATATAACAAGAGTGCTGTGTATTAAAATCGTTCGTTTTCGTGGRCGGATGTGTATCTAAACGTCCTAAAACSGCAATTAGCTCATGTAGATATTTCTATCCTAGGATTGCCCACTCCAATCGGATTAAGTAAAAAATGAGGATACATGATACCGATATGCCCGCCAATTGCAGGATTATACCAAAACGAAAATCGCCTAGTTCTATATAGTATTTTATAATATYTTTCATTTTTCTCAGACAAACTATAKKGTAAAACAAAGCAAGTATTATAGGTATTTAACTAGTTAGTTCTTATAGTTAACTCTTTCATTTACGATTTACATTCATAAACTAAATCCCTAAGACTTCATACAGTAAAATCTCTAAACTCGATACTGTTAAATCCGTCATACTTATAAACCTACCTATCGTGCGCATTTAATGTTATCTGACGACAACGCACTGTTAAAATAATAGATTCAAGTGCGTCGTGACGGAGAAGGTTACGCGATAATTAAATATTAAATATAATATAGTATACTCAATGCGTATTAATATTTATCACGCAGAGAGAAATTTGTACAGTGGCGAGTAGCGACTAAGACGACACGGTCATGTTACGTCGATAAACGCGTGTGTTGTAGCTATACGTAAGAAATCCTAYATAAATTATTTAATCATTATTATTATTATTATCATTACATTATAGTCGAGTGAAGTTAATACAGTCATTGTCGTTGGAATTTATTTGTCAAAAATGAGCAATCCATCGGAGACTTTTTTCGATTATTATAAGCTACCAGGACCTTGGTACAACGTCAAGTACACGATTTATTACTGGTTTTTCACTGCGATTAAGGTATAAATCAAATATCATTATAATACTAAATTACTTATTAAAATTAATATTATTATACACAGTAATATTTCATTGAATTGTTTTGTTGTTGTTTTTAGACGATTTTGCGTTTATTCGACATTCATACGAAACACGGTAAACCGGAAGACAACGACGGGCCACACGAACTTAACGAACATATTGTARGTATTAATATAATATTACAATCGCTTATGATGAAATCGTTTTCAGCTGAATATTATATGTACATTACTTTMTTAGGGATATGACGCCACTTGGATTGGAGGCACCACGCCTGACGGCAAATGGATCATATTGGCGCTCGATAGACGAAACGATTGTAAAATTTCCATAGGATACGCGTCTTTAAAGGTGAATTGTAGTAAGCAATACAATGTTATGAATAGGACGGTAAAGTTATGTTGGTATACATGTCTGTGAAATTAGCTCACTTCTCCACTTTGTCTTAAATTACCCTTCAAAATACACGTCCAATTAAATTTGTTTTTTTGAATTTGTAAGTTTGCCGCTACTTTAAGCTCACTTTAGTCATAAACTCATAACGTAGTGATAGGAAACCTACAAAWTTCGAAATTAAACTTATCACAATTACTTACGAATGAGCTCTGCTACGATTTAACAACTAGGTATGCCATTATACACACTTYGTTTGTATGGCTTCTGCAGATTCCAGGAATCGGACACCTGTCTACTCCGATGTATCCAAAATCCATGGATAACGCGYTGGGAAATAGCGACAAYGGTTTTATTTTGGATAAATTTACTATGACAATGATCGAACCTCTCCGACGTTGGAAAGTCAATTTCGAAGGTAAAATGACGTAAGTACCTTTACATAATACTGTAATAGTATATAAAAATGTGAAATCGACCATATATATAAACTAACAATTGTATATATATATATCCATGAACGAGAATATAGGTTTGTAGACGATCCGGACACTTCGGCTAACGTAAAGATAACGGCAGAGTGGACGAGCAAACATGACGTGTGGCTACTGAACCGGGACTTGAGTAGCGAATCGTTTGCCGACTCGATCGCGCTGGAAAACTGGAATATGTTCTCCGCCACCATATTCGACCGGTACATGCATGCAAGAAAAAGATAATAATATAAGCTACTGTATAGCTTCAAATCTTTAGATATTGTTCTATGGTGCACTATATATGTGTATAAATATATTATACAACATCATCGCGTTACGTCGTTTTATTACAGTTCCAAAGACAACGTGGTGCATTGGGAACAATTCGGTCGGTTGGACGCTAACATCGAGATCGACAGGATMGGAATCGAAATTCGCAACGCCGCGACCGTCAGGGACAGAAGCTTCGGTATATTTAATAAGTATAAGTAAAAAACTGTAATTCAAAAACTTAGGTAAAAACAACCACCCATATACTCCTAAAAGTCTATACATAATTAATTTTTCAACAACCCTGCATACATGTAAATAAAATATTATATTAAAATTAAAGTCATAGTTAATTGAACTTTTATAATCACTAAACTAACCATCWCTATCTACATACGAGTATATATTCGCAATATAACTCTATAATAGGTTAGGTTATATATACGATTTTTAAATTTTTATATCTAAAACAGAAATACACAACATTTATAAAAATATAATAGGTATATGCTAAGAGCGTCAAATTTGTATGACCTATAATTTATCATTTATCAATAATACATTATGTTATATTTTATTATTTTAGGTTTTAATCACATATCAGATAATTAAATTGGATTTGGTTCTTTTGGACTCTATAAAGCCCTAAAATTTGCGCTTATTGGAACCATCACCGATAATTTACTATGCAATCGTAATAATATGACGAGCAGCTCATTCGAACGGTGTTTTTTACAGGTAAAATTAGAGATTTTACAGCGTTGCACAGATACTTCTACATAACCATGTTCATGGAAAACGGTCAGTCTTTGGTGATCACGGTAGTTTGCCACAAAAAGACGTTTTCGCGGTGAGTCATATACCATGTGTAATAATTAATATTGAACTAGGATCCCATTRGCTAAAATAAATTTAAACAAATTAAAAATAGTCAAAAAATTAAAATATTCAAAAACTTTTTTCATTACATATTTTATTTCCCAATAGTATATCATAATTCATAATATATAGGTACAACGATTTCAAGTTTAAAATTAAATTATTAAATAGAATAACATTAGGTAGTATAATATGTAATAAGTACCTATGTATAGTTATTATTTACAAATTATTGGTATTTTATATTGATGTATGAGTATCTAAGACCTATTAAAATATTAGGTAGGTATAATAAATATTAATACTAATATAAATATTTTATATTTATTTATAGACACGTAAATAAAATAAAAAAGTCAATCATATATTAATTAAATTTAATTAAAGCGTGAAAAAACAATTCTTTTAAAATGAATTTATAAAAATCCGTCAAGTTTGTATAATCGCTGTGTTATATTCACATGTGTCAAGGGTACCTCGTCATTGAGTAAGCACTTTAAATTGATGTACTAAATTTAAATTCAATGATAAATCATTATATATAACGAAAAATATATTCTGAGCGAAAAAGTGCAATTGTTTGTTTATCAAGGTTAACAAACAATTATTTTAATAACAATAAAATTAAAAAATTTTAACATACGTTCGTATTTTTTTCCTGGTTATTTGTGAAATCCACAATACATTCGTTCTCAATTAATCACGTTATATTAGGTATAGAATATTAAMGATCACGAAATCAATGCGTGTTAATCGATCTGAAAACTGTTTTTTTGTTTATGCATTACCAGGCTGTTTTTCGGATTTATCAGCAACGACGATGGTACCAAYAGCAACATAGACTGGACCGATTTGAACATATATCAATTCGGCGAAAACGGCAGAGTTACCGAAGAACTGTGTTTTTTAATAAGAATCGGTAATTCCATCATTTGCACTTCATTAAACTTAGYATTATTACCAATTTAATACTAATTAACGACAAATTCCCATATTTTCGTAGGTAAAGTCGTCCGTGCCGTGCAAGTCGTGTGTGACAGCAACCAACACTGGTATCGACTGGAAAAGGGTGTAATAAGATGCGAACAGGTCGGTGACTGTTTGGTCGACCATGTGCCTGGAAAGTGTATGATCCAGTCAYTGTACAGCGAGACGTCGCTGAAGGCGAAAACTTTTTGCAAGCAACTGAGTTATTTGGACTATTAATTATATTTCAACAATTATATCAAAGATTTTTTTTTTAAAGATATTATTATTGTGTTAACTATCTGCGATTTTTTTCTTTTGTTTATGTCTAAGAAAAATCGAATCGATAATCCCACTCACGGTTATATATTCGATGTCCGCAATAATAGACTGTCGGGTGTGCAATACTATGCATTGGTCCTACCAAATCAATTTTTATATCAATTATAAATTATAATCAAAACAATACAGCATTATTAAGACTAGAATATTGATTTATAATATAAAATTAAATTAATATATGTATAAAAACAAGTGAAATAATTTTTGACGGTCATTGAGAATCTCCTTCTCAAAGTGCCTCTCTGATTAATTCTAAATGGTTTTCAAAGTATAATTTAGGACAAACTMGATTTGGATGAAACAAAAGTCAAACCTTTTTATTTCGGTGGAAACTAAAATTTTTGTTTTGGCGGAAACGAATAACATTAAAAAACAACATAATATAACTCTCTTAAATGAAATTGTGATTTGCACCCGCGGTGGACTGAATATTTTAGGTAAAAGTACTTATGGCACTAGATAGTGAAAGTGTATGGTATAAATTGAATTCATCGTTTTTTTTATTTCTAAAATCTGCACTCATAATAGAAAAGTGATCTTGAATTGATTAATGATAAGATTTAAACATAAAATACACGCATATTTTTTAAATGAAAGTTTTTTTTTAATTTTTGTTAATGACAGTTAAACATTATAACCAATCTAAAAAAACCTTCTTTAATGATATTGGAAACCGACTACTCGCTGTGTTCTCTGGTATAAAACTAAAAATAATATTACACAATATTTGACGCAATRTACCAAGTACCCGAAATTTATATTTACTGCATTGGAATAATTTAAATATAACTAAAATAATAATAAATTGGTCGCAATTTACAATATTGTTGTCACTTCTTCGCGAGGCGGAGGGGGCTCAATTTGCGTTGGTCCTATTGAATAATATAATTCAAATTTATAGTTCATGACAAACGGTGTTCGTCCACTCCCACGCGGTTTCCTCGCAACTTCAGGACAGTCTTAGAATTGACGCAATCGTCGTGCACGGATGCCGACGCAGATGGCATAGAGCTACAACAGTTGACAAAACGAGCTCGTTAATCGTCGTAAATAATATTGTATATTATGTATATACACGGAGGCTGAAATATAAGTATATTATGTACAACGATGGTTTGAGTACGACATCGTTCTTCATTATGACGTCGGTAGGTATATAYAATAATAATAATAATAATATACATAATATTTGGTATAGCAGTGGCGCGTACACGACCGATTTTCATCAGGCTAATTGCGTCGCCACCCGGTCGGGTCCCCTCACCACTTCAGTCCTATATTATATAATAGCTGCTGTGTACACTCGAGGCGACGGCGGTGATTAATGCGTTTAATATTCATAAAAATCAGTCGCKGAAAAGTCGTCGCAGCGCTTATCAATCATTGTCCGACGCGCGCGTAATTCGATTACGCATGTTATTCGGTAGCGCGCACGTCATTTCGTATAATTATCATCATAACGAYGGTATGGCTACAATTTATATCCACCGATGGCGATAACAGACGTCGTCTGTAATAAAAAACGACGATTTTAAGATTGAATTAGAAATATCGTCAAAAATCACGAGTAGGTACTCTACGCAGAGACGTCTCCAACGGTGGTTGTTGAGAAACACGTAGGAGGTGGATGTGAGTGATTTCGGAGGACTGCAGTTACCGGGCCAGTCGATGAGGATATCGTGGACAAACGATCGTTGGCTAAGCGAAGTTATTCAAGGTTTCAGGAGAGTTAAAAACAGTTTGTTGTTATTTTAATGTTAAGCATGTCAATACATTTTATTTATTTGATAACGAAAAGCAATAACTTTTTTTACATATGACTCGATGTTCTGTTTGTAAAATAAATGATTCCAATTCTCTTCGTCCTTTATAGGCGTTTTCGATTATTATTTATGTGAGTACGAAAAAATTTGAATACATATTTCGTCAAATCATTTTTTAAACATAATTGATATGATGTAGAAGCATAATATTCTTTATTAAATTTTAATATTATATTATCAGGTATGACCTACATATTATAATTTATAATATCATATATTTCCTATAAGTACTAATAATTGTCGTTTAGACACTTTTTTTTAACAAACAAAATATATTTTTATTTTTAAGTGTCGTTTATACTTTAATCTTAAAATACAAATTGTTCGTTAAATAATAATGAACATAGGTACTCTAAGATTTTTTGCACGTTTSTATTGGAAAAGACATAGTTTTCTCTAACCTCCAAAAGCCAAACCTAACCCTAATAGTGCCATTTTCCGCATAAAACATCGATATAGTGTCGAAGATGAACGTGACGTGAGCTTGTCATCATATCTGGTGATATTCCAAGGCAACTCGATACCGTTGCGGGTAGCGGCAGTTTAATTATGTGGGTTGGATSCGTATGGAGCCGCTGTAGAAAACGTCAACGGGTGGTCTCGTTGATGATTTGCGCAGGAGGGTGTGTGAGGAAGAGCATATCAAAGGCAAAAAGCACCCACGTGAATCYCATGGCAGGTGGTCAATGGCCAGTTCAGAAGCGTGGGCCGATTATTCCGACATACAGGAATTTGCCTTTTGAAAGCCACCGAAATGAGGYATCGCGCGAATACGTCTTGCGACCCATCCCCTGTGGTGTTGCGTCTGTCATATGTACAACCCACACCCACCAAATAATGATGCAATACGTTTTATGCTCAACTCGAAATTTTTATTATTATTACGAATTTACTGAAATATTTTTAAATAAATTAGTACCTAAGTATGAATAAAAATGAATGGCTTTTAAATAGAAGATCTATCCATTTGTAATTTTGAGAACCATGTTAGAATATCCCCTCTAAAGAATATAACAAGCACAAATTATATCGATTTTTGTTTATTCAAAGTATTAAATATCAGTGTAAGCCCAATGGCCCATGTTGCCGAGAGTATTATTAATAATATATATAAAGTATTAAATTTATATACTGCGTCCCGAGCTTTAAAGTCCCTCTCGATCGATACAAGATACAAAAAATCACCTACCTATTATTTAACACATTTAGTAATCGTAATTCGTTGTTTTAAATATCTATACCCACTTCAAAAAACAAAAGGTGTTTGTACATAATATCAGTTTATGGATTGATGATTCTTAATAAAAGGATTAAAATGAACAGTTATAACATTATAAAAATAGTTGTTATCGAATTTACACAGTTTTATGAATACAGAAAGGAACTTAAAATAAGTCATATTATTATTGCTGAAAATTGACATCTAGATCCGAACAATGAAAGGGAYACGACTCTGCAGTTTAGTTCTTCAAGTAAAAAAAAACAATTCCTTGATAAATTACAAATATCAATAAATTAAATTATTATGTCAGCCAAAACTCGTGCAATAAACAGGGATTTGTGTTTATATAGAGATTAGATGTATACATTTTTATCATACATCTTATGATGTGCTCAATTCACAGTTATTATAGTTATATTATATTATATATTTGTAATTTGAATATTATAATAAAGTTTTGATGATCGTGAGGCAAAAGAAGATTTGTGGGCGTGTGCGCAGGAAATCGAAGATATCRCGAGGCCAATTATTCTAGTACTGAAATCGATTTCACGATACAATTTAAATTCGGTGTGATTCTATCTCCATAGGCGCGCTACTGTATAAAGGTAAGCTACCGCGTGAAAGTATAATCTTATAAAAGGCCGATTTCGATTCCGCTTGGTTGTACTCGAAAGCCGTTTACAGAATTTGGCCGCCAAAACCTGGGACGCATTTTAGACTTGCGCGGTCGGCTCTGATAATATGTTTTCAAACMCTATCATTTTCTCTACCGTCGTTCTCCTTTGGATTTAAAATGTAATCATATTATATCATTATATTATATTGATTTTGAGTAGATAATTAAATGCTTTAAATACCAATTCAATAATATATTGATATAAATTAATCAAAACACAATAATGTACCTTGGATATAGTGATATGATGTTTTAAAATAAAAGTTTAAAATGTTTTATTCTATTCCAATAAAATAAGAAATAACAATATGTATTAAACATATATAATTTTAAAATTTTATTGTAAACAGCAAAAATGTGGGTATCATGTCAAAAATATATATATATATATATATTTCATTTATTAGTGCGAACAATTGAAAGACTTTTTCAATTTGAAAACTGAAAAATATTTAACTTTTTTTTAAAAGTAAAAATCTTTAAAAAATGTTTTCCTACCTATTCGGGAACCTAATTTTTAAAACTTCAAAATTTGATTCAATTATGAAAATATATAATATGCTTATAATGTGCAAAATTATATGAACAAGATCGGTAGGTGTTTCATAAAACTTATATTGAAAAATATCCAGCTAATAAATACCAATCGTCTTACAATTGCCTTTTGATCGAAGAGGAAGCACTACTTTATATTATATTTGTTCATATAAATATCTCATTTTTGTTTTACCGTACGCACCAATGGTACCTAGTTTAGGAGCCTATATAAAAATATTTGCACTGTGATTGTCAGTCTTGTAGATGAATAAAATTATCAGTCATGTATWTTGTATATCTATGCTGGTTCTACTTCCTTCAAAGTTACATTACTAGTTATTAATTTATTATGGGCGCAAAATTATCTACCATATCACGCGATGGTTGTATTTGGCGGTAGGTATAGAATACGAAAAAACAGTAAATGCTGTAAACCACGACAATAAACGAGATAGATCGATACATATACCGCGATCATTATTTACGATATATTATATTCAAAGGTTTKTGTATATTTGCAGTAGGTACTTTATAGATTTGTAATTGGAATTGACGTTTTTTTAATGAAAATATAGGTACTTAGGTAATACATTTTTTAGAATCTTTTTTATTATTTAGATTTAGTAGGTGCCTAATGATAAAACTATAAAAGCGATAAATTTCAATTATCTTTAGTTGCATATGTTTGCTGAACATTTTAAATATAAATACTTTGGTAGGTATTAGCTGTCTTAATAATAATGTCTAAATAATATCTTCTGAATTTTTATTCAAATTAGTCTATCGTTATTTTGACGATAGTCGATATTGTTGTCGAATCGATTTAAGAGTCGTCCGTATACGCACAACACAAAATATATTCAGCCATATTTAT